GCAGCACTGCACCATGTAAAGGGATCTATCGGGATTTTGTAGAAGAATAGATGGGGATTATGTAGGGATTAGATGTGGGAATGTATAGGGGTGATATAGGGATTATCTGAGGAATATGGGAATATAGTATAGCAAGCTTGGCAAACCTTCCATCATGCAGGAAAGAGTTTTGAACTCCCGCTGACTACTTGGTCCGCGTGCTGCTTTGGCGGTTGAGCAGACTTCGAAACGCGCTGACCAGCTTTCAAGTTCCAGGGATCGGATCGGTCTTTCATGCCAACTCTAGCCAAACTTCTTCAGAAGGACAATGGCACAAAGACCCCGTGAGCCCCGACGAAATGGAAGATACGTACAGCCAGGCCTGACAATGGGGAAAGAGTTCCCTGGCTGCGTTCCTTCCCGGAAGCTCCAGGCCCCACCTTAGTAGCAACATCAGTCTAGCGCCCCGTGGCATCTCGCAGATACATGGCATTGTCACTGTGCAGAATACCTTCGAAATTTATACAGATCCACAAAGCATGAGGAGTAAAAGTGCCCATCCCTTGCTGTCAACATGAGGAGAATATGATGACTGCAGGTTCTCTTCGGCTGTGGAATGATGACTGCGCTTTTCCTTGCTGACCTTTTCTGTAATCACTACCAGAGTTGTGCCGCCAGCAGGATTATGACAGTAGGTGCCGTCGTGTCAGCAGCTACTGCCAAACTGACCTCAAAGCAGAGGGTCTATCTGTCGTTCTGTTTTTTGGTTGTAGGGAAGGCAGGGAACTGAAGTGCAACTTGACGTCCTTCTTCCACCACCACCACCACCACCACCACCAAAAGTTGGATGACGACTACTTGGGCCAGGCGTGCATTTTGTGCAGTGTCCCCGTTTGCGGCCCCGGCATCTCTGGGGAAGTTGCAGGCGGTGGCCTCACACAGAGCTGGCCGCGGAGCTTTCATGAAAAAGATTTAGCAACATGGGGTCTCTGACAATTCCAAGATCCGGTATGGGCAGGGGGTCCCCGTAACTTTCTGGGAATGACAAATCTCCTACTGGCTCGACTCAGGTAATACATCCGGTCCACCTTCGGACCCGGACTGGGATTAGCAAGCAGCACGTCACTGGCCAATTGCTGTGCAGACTGTTCAGACCTTTGCCTCGCGGGCCGAGGAGATGGCGTGCGAAGGCCGTACCTTTTTTTCAAAGCCCAGAAAGTCTCATTGTCCCCAGAGGTCGTCGCAGCGCGAAAAGCTGTCCAGATTGAGCACGGCTGCCCTTTATGTGCCAAGACAACAACGGAACCCTTTTTTCAGGCGCACTCATAGGCAATCGGAGATGCAAAGCTCGCCATCGTCTTCCTAAGGACATCAACCAATCAGACTTTTGCATTACTGCGACGCAGGACCTTCGCATACACCTCTTCCCCCGCACTGCAAGGAGTTGAGCTGCATGGACGTCAGAGCTTCATTTCAGAAAATTTGGATTGCTTAAGACCACCATTTTTGAATTCCAAGGGCGCCTCAAACGTACGAGAAATATGACAGAATGCAGTACTGGGATAGGAAGCCTTGGTGCCTCTGTCTCTCACGCACCAATGATCACAAAAATGATCATAACACATCAGGAAACTGCAGGTGATGGAGACATGCTTCCGGTTTCATACAAGCCATTGCAAGGACCGGCAATGAGATGTCAATGTCGATGTGTTCTCACATTGCGCGAGATCAACTGCGATAGAAGGCATAGCCCCTAGGTTCACCCTCAAGCCTTGTGTGATAGTGACAATCGCCAGGATTGTTTGCTGGCAAGCTTCTACGAGATGATATTGAGCCAGCCAAAAGCCAACGCTGTCCATCGTCTAGGAAGATGGCTGCATCTTCCTTTGCGATAATACACAAGAATAGACTTAGGAATAGGAATGTGGCCTACGATAACAAGAAGAGTGGGCTATGTGAAAAAAGCATTATAAGCAATTCACATCATGCATTAACTTTATGCATCAGTGACTGCTTGGTGCTCCATGTCCTCACCGAGCCTAGACAGTCTGAGAAGCACATGTGGGCCACCCTGCATCATGTCCTGTCACTCTCCTTCAAAAGCTAGGGCCAAGCAATATGCTCGTAGGCGGCGGATCAGAAAAACTTCTGGCTGGGGATCAGATGAGTCACAACATTGCAAGCCCATCAGCTCCAGACATCATGGCGCACGCCACAGTGCCACACAACAAGAATCAGATCACACAACAGCACCGAGCAAAAAAAGCACGGTCACAACCCTGAGCGAACAAAGCACAGCCTTCGCTCCGCTCCGTGACCTGCCGGGATGTCCTGGAATATGCTGCAGACAGGCAGATCCAAAAGCTCTGAAGACTTGAGAAATTGGGCGAAGCTAAGTTGAGCTCACAAGTGGCAAATTTCGGATGGACTCTAGAACCAAGCTCCAAGCCGTCTTCCCGTTTCCTAGTACGTCAGTTTGGGGTTTGCGGAGCAAGGCTTAGGGATGCGTTACCCCAGTGCTGGAGAATCACGTGAAAAACAAAATGCGGAATGAAATGGACAGGCGATTGTATAAGTTTTGTAGGCGGCCCCTTTTGGGGTGTCCCTATATTAAGGATTATGATGTGGTGGTGTTTACAAAAATAGGCCCTTGGTTTGTGGAAACTCTGACATCTTAGTAGGAATTTGCAGGGCCAGGCTAAACCGTAAAGCACCTCCCCGTGTCTTGGCTGCGTTCTGCATCAGGTCCTGGCATCTGACTTGCAGGGGCTTCAGGAAAACTGCCGACTCAACTCATATCCGGAACAACAAAAGCAAGGCTAGCTCCAAGATGCAGGAATGCTAAGATGTGAGTCTGCGTTCCCCATATCGCTTTGTACACGGTTCTGGTGCGCTGTCTGTGTCTCGGCCTCGCCGTGCCAGCTGCGAAAGCTCGGCTAATCGCCGCAACTGGCACCACGAGGCTCAGGGTTTGTGGCAGCTTCGGGTGTGGTTGTATTCTGAAACGCCCCTTGTTCGACTGCATTCGTACAAGCAGGTCTCAGCGGGCGCGTGGAACCCATTTTGTCTCCAGCTTTGCAGGCGGGTCTATGAATCAAGCTTTACGCAGAGCGAAGGAGGTACACTTCAAGGGGGCCATGCAGCTTCCGGCACCTTGATATGTGCTTTGCGTGATTTGCATGAGATTGGGATGCAAGTGACCTCCCTGGTTGATGTTTGAAGCACTTTCTCGCCCAATGCTGGAGGTATTTGATCTGCCAGGATTTTGGCATGGAGAGTAACAACAAATCTTGTTTAGAGCTCGCATCTTCAAGCTGCAGCAAACGATCAAGTACAGTGTGGTGAGCCAGGTTTTCAGCATGGCCTGCACAAAAACTACAGGTCGCATGGCTTCTTCACGTTAAGTGAAGATGGGCGCCGTTGCGACGTTAGCGCAGTGGGACAGCCACACTGACAGCACATGTCCAAGTAGGAGATCTTTGCATGCCGCAGGCATCCGCAGGTCAAAAGCCAGGGCTGCAGACGTTTGTCTTGCGACATGGGACTAGCCCTGCATTTGCTTTGGGGACCATGTACATCAACAATGAAACCCCCCCCCCTTGCCCAGCCTCAATTTCCACAGCACCTGCACGGCTAGCCTGGGGCAAGGCAGGAAAACGGCAGGAAAAAAAAGCTTGCAACTTTGTATGGAATCTAGCATAGAAAGCCTGACTGACCTCTCCAAAACCTGTATCTTGCGTATGAAACTGTCGTTGCGGATCGAACCTCTTG